ATCACTTCTACCATTTTTTCAAATTATTGTTGCTTTTCCACAATAAATTTTCATTAAAGAACGGCCTCGAGCTCAATAAAAATTGATGAATAAAATATATTACTTAAAGAGCTACTCTAGTGTTTTATCCGATGTGAAACAATACCCCCGTAATCCCAAAACTAGCTAAAACACCGTTATGACTGAGCATCTTTTTTTGCAAGTTACATTTATTTTACCGAATATGTTTGGACACCCATAATTTTTCTTAATAATCTTAAGTCTATAAGTATTAAAAAAATATTGTACACGCAGGTGTTCGATTCCTAGATGAAATGCAATCAATACTAGATTTGACAAAAAGAAGGGTCAAAACGACCCACATGGGTGGGAAATAATTGGTTAAAATGTTCCGCAAAAACTCTAATAAACTGTAAAAAGAAATTAAAATTGTGACATTTAGGGACAAAGCGGCAGGTGGCCTGGTATTTTGGAGCTCTTCCTCTTTCATAATTGCATTCGTGTCTTTTTTATTTGTCTCAACAAAGTTGATTATTGCACATTTGCTGATTCAAGCAACTTTACTTTAATTCTTTTTCTTTTTATTATTCACTTTTTTACTTTAAAACTGAGTTTCCATTTTTTTACTTGTATATTTTTCGAGGTTCAAAGAATGAGGTGAATTCGGTTAGATGAGCGTGCCACAACTTTTTTTTTCAAACGTCGAAAAGCCAAATTTCTAGAGATATGTCCATATACGCTTACGAAAAAAATCAGGCACGAAAATACAAAAGATACCTCACATTCACCAAAGTCATTTATGTAAGTAAACAATTCTAGTTTTATTTAAATTTAATTTGAAAACTTTCAGACGAGAAAAAAATCATTCTTCAGTTAAGTTGCTGGTCTAAATTTAACTGATGAACCACATCAACAAAGTTATACTCTCTTTATGTTTGAGCTGTTGCATTTGCATTAAAATAATCACTGCATTTGCGAAAATATCGATTTTTTTACGGTATATAAACACTTAATTTTCTTAGAACACCGAAAATGACTCTTAGTCTTAATATTTCTGTGAAAAGCAAAGTTTTCATTTATAAATCAAATGGTTAACAGGCGCATAGAAGGGCTTGCCTTTTTATACAAATTTCTACAATATAAACGTACCAAAAATATCATCAATATTATTGATGAGACTATTGAAGAATTCACGATCTCCGAGTGCACGTGACATTTCAGCACATTTAAAAAACAATCTTTACACTGATGTATTTCAAAACTCCAAAAAAATATGTCTTAACCAACCACTTTGTCTTATTTCGATCCGCTACGACGATTATTGCTTTAAGTAAGCTGACAAAAGGAACTTAAGGAAAGCGTTTGGATAAAAACGCGGCCAAAATAATTAAACGTGACCTAGAAAAGCCGCAAGCACACGTGTGTTGACCACAACAGTAAATCAATGACTGACGGCAGTCTAAGCGTACAATACTACACCACCATCACATATAAATGTATATACTTATATATTCATATGCATGCATGTATGTATGTAAGTATAGGCTTTTATTTACCCAAGTGTATGTGTATTACGAAAGCCACACAAGCATTTGTACACTTGTTAGATAAGTTTTTAGTATGCAATTAGAGGTTATATGTATGTATAGTGTATACATAGGAAATACTCTGCTAATA